TGGGTTGATCGGGCTATCTATCCGAGTTGTTTGGGACCTGTTTTCGGGGCTCAAGAGATGATTTCTAGGTGGTCTATAGGTCGACCTGAGGGTTTTAGACCATGACCCAAATTCTAGTGGAGATTGTCTAGTTGTTTCTCGTGGTGGCCAAAATAATGTGTGTAAGGTCGAGTTGTCTTTGTGTGTTTTTAAATCCTACAGATGCTGACTGAGATGTTCTGTGTGGTTGTCGAGTTGTTTACCTTGTATGGGTCTGTGTGCTGAGTTGATTGAATGTATGTGATGATGTATGTATGTTGTGTCTTCTTGTCGTACTTCGTAAAGTCAAAGGTAGTTCTCTTCGTTTATAAAAGGCGATATAAGAGATTAGAAAGGGAATGGTGTCTCGTCCAATGGTTTCCAACTTATGTAGAGTATACTGCCTATGGTGAGCAATAATGGAGTTTTTACTCTTAAGTCCTTCAGAAGTAAGGAAGATAGGTCAAAAGTTGCTGTAGAGGACGACTCGAATTGACCTGTTTTGGTGAACTTATGTCCTACTTTGGTGAACAGGTTTTGTATGGTAGGGTACGAGAAAATGACACATGTTTTAGAATTGTTTGGTTAAGGCACGCTTTTAGGGATAACTTACAAATATAGTAGTCATTGTTTGGTGTGTCATGTTGATAGTATTATTATGGTGACTAATGTTTATTGTTTATGTCCTTTTATTGGGTGGTTATTATGGTAGCTCACCCTTATTTTTTATGTGTGTTGAGATGATTGTATAGCTCACCTCTTGGCCTCATTTTTCTTTTTCAATCATGTTTCAACTTTGAGAACAAAGTGTAAAACTTTTTCAAGGAAGAATACTCATACAACTCTATTGATAGGTGGAGCAATGTGAATGCTAAACCCAATCCTTTATGTGTTTGGTTTTTGATGATTCCAACACATATATGTTTCCATGACAACAACATTAATGTTTCTTTATGTTTAAGACATATATTTCCTGAACTGTTTGGGTTGCATACTTTCTATGGTCATATAAGTGTTTACATCTTTCGTATGCATACTCATGTTTTCATTTATTAAAACCACTTGCACAAAGTAGATTTGTATGAAGTAATCAATTACAATGGTTATGTAATCAATTAAGTTCATTAGATAACTAATGCTTAAATTGTGGAAAACTAAAAAGTTTTAACCGATTACATTATATGTATAATCAATTAAAACTCGTGCCTTTGCTAACTCCTATTTGCTATGTGCTATGATGAGTTTTGAGAAGAAAAAGTTTTCAAAATTTTCTAAGTGTAATACTTAACCGATTACACTATTTACTTAATCGGTTAAGTCTGGTATTCTTTGAAAACTATTTTTAAGAGATGTTCTAACTATGACAACGATCATATTTTCAAATAATCTAACTTATAGTTTATGTGCAATCGATTACATTAATTGCTTAATTACTTAAATTTGTTTCATTGTAATTCTGGTGTAACTCTATTAAAAGTGTAACCGATTACATTATTTTCGTAATCGATTAAAAAGCGTCAAACATAAGAAAATCTATATAATGACGCGTTGCACTCTACATTAACAACTTTTGATCATTTTAACTTTCATATATGATATCAGTGAGTCAAGAAAAGAATTGCAAGTGCGCTGATTGCTCCAAGAATGAAGATACAAAAGATGTGTAGATTTTGAAGGATTCTTGAAGGATAGCTTTGGACGTTTATTGGCTGATCAACTACTGCACGTTAAGGTGTTTTCTTTCCTGATCAGAACTTTGTTTGCAATCAAGAGATTGTGGTTTCGCTATGCATGTTGCTAGGAAGAAGAACTTTTTGTTCTTGTGACTTTGAGAAGGGTCTCAAAGGGGTACTGTAGAGAAGAGGAATGTTCTTTCTGCAGGGTGTGTTTTTACTATATTAGATTGGTGAGTTAGAGAGGAGATTACATTTGAGAGGTGTTCTCTGTAAAGTCTTGCTGTAAAAACTCAAATCTTTATAGTGGAAGGTCTTTTAATCTAAGGTTGATTGGAAGAGACTAGATGTAGGCATTTAGGCCGAACCAGTATAAAAAGTTGTGTTTGTTTTCTATCCTTAAACTCCTTTACTGGATTATTTTCGTTATTGTGTTATGTGTTAAAGATTATTCTAAAGATTTCCAAAAAGATAGAAAAGAAAGCATTTTTATTAAAAACCATTCACCCCCTCTTGGTGTTGAGAAACAAGACATAACATTTCTTATAATTAACACCAGAGCTGTTTTCAAAAATTGCTCGAAAACGAATCGATTAAGTTTTCTATGAAATCAATTAATTTTATTTTGATGGCCTTTGTTTCTCTGATCTGAAGTAAGAGTGAATTTAATGATGATTTCCTTAATGCTACCTGTAAAAATAAATGCAATTCTATCATTAACAATTCTAGTGAGTTTTTCAAAATAGGAACTTCTCGAAAATCTTTTCAAGAAGGAGAAAGTAGCACCAACACTCTAAAATCTGACGATAAGGGATTAAATATGTTGGCAGAAAAGTTTACTAGATTCTTGAAGGCAAAGAAAACTGATATCAATTATAAGGATGTTCGAGAGCTGCGCAAGGACCAAAATCTACATCGAACTGGTCTTAGTATGATGGTATAATCAACCACTGCTGAAACATGTGCAGAACAAGAGAAAAAGCAATCGATATGGTATCTGAATAGTGGGTGCTCTAGACGTATGACAGGTGATCCGACCAAATTCATTAGTCTTTCTCACAAAACAAGCAGCCACATTACATATGGAGACAACAATAAGGGTAAAGTTGTTGGAATTAGTAAAATCCAAACACCATCCTTTTATGTGATTGAAAATGTGTTGCTTGTTGAAGGTTTAAAACATAATTCCCTAAGTATAAGTCAACTCTATGGTAAAGCTCTGAAAATAACTTTTGAGCCTAACCATTGTTTTATTTGTAATGGTGCAACAAATGAACTTCTACTGATTAGAAAAAGGTGTAACAATATCTATATGATTGACTTTAGAAAAACATCCTTGAAACTGGTTGTATGCTTGTTGTCTAAATATGATGATGCTTGGTTGTAGCATAAAAAGTTAGCTCACATTTATATGGTATAGTTAAATAAACTTGTCTCTAAGAATCTTGTAATTGGTCTACCAAATATAAAATATGTTTCTGATAGGCTTTGTGATGCTTGTCAAAAGTGAAAGCAAACAAAAGCATCCTTTAAAACTAAGAGACAAATGTCTACCACTAGACCTCTTGAGTTGCTTCATATGGATTTGTTTGGACCCTCAAGAATCAAAAGCCTTAGTGGAAATCTTTATGATTTGGTAATTGTAGTTGACTTTTCTGTATATATCTGGACTTTTTTTCTTGCTGTCAAAAGTGAAACTTTCAGGATATTCAAGAAGTTTGCATCTATGATACAAAATGAGAAAGACCTCAAGATCAAGTCAATCAGGAGTGATCATGGCAAGGAATTCCCAAATGAAAGCTTTGACAACTATTGTGCTGAAATGGGGATATCTCACAACTTCTCGACTCTCTTAACTCCTTAGCAAAATGGCTCGGTAGAGAGAAAAAATAGAGCCTAGGAGGAGCTTGCGCGGACTATGCTAAATGAGAGGGATATGCCAAAGTGCTTCTAGGCAGACGCTGTCAGCACTGCTTGTTATGTGCTCAACAGGACAATCATTAGACCAATATTGAAGCTTACACCTTATGAGTTGTTCAAAGGGAGAAAACCAAACATCACACATCTGATTTAGCAGCAAGTGCTTTGTGCTCAACAATGGTAAAGAGAGTCTTGGTAAATTTGATTCAAAAGCCGATGAGGCTATTTTCATTGGTTCCTCTAGTTCTAGCAAAGCCTATAGAGTATATAATAAAAGAACCTTATGTGTTGAGGAATATGTACATGTTGCATTTGATGAATATATTGACAATGCTATTAACAAAATGCATTCTAGAAAGTGTATAGATGCAGGTGATTCTACAGGGGAAGAATAGGAAAGTGAAGAGACTCAAATGGATCAAAGTCCATAAGTCACTGAATATCCTCCCAGAACTGAGCCTGTGAAGGAATGAAAGACTCCAAGAAATGTTTCAACGAGGAATATCATAGGTGATATTTCTAGAGGTGTGTCTTCTCGAAGACAACTCAACCAGTTTTGCATGAATGTAGCTTATGTGTCCCAGACTGAGCCCAAAAACATTGAACGTTCACTATCAGACGAGAACTTGTTCATTGCAATGCAAGATGAGCTTAATCAATTTTAGAGGAACAATGTTTGGGAACTTGTTCCAAGGGAAAAGACTCAACAAGTCATTGGTACAAGATGGGTTTTTCACAACATGAGGGATGACTTTGGAGAGATTGTCAAGAACAAAGCCATATTAGTAGCAAAAGGATACTTCCAGGAGGAAGGAATCGATTACGATGAGACTTATGCTATTGTGGTTAGACTGGAAGCTGCGAGAATTCTCTTAGCTATTGCATCAATGATGAAGTTCAAGTTATACCAGATGAATGTGAAGAGTGTTTTCCTGAATGGCTACATCAAGGAAGAAGTATTCGTTGAACAATCCCCTGGCTTCCAGGATTTTGAATTTCTAGATCATGTGTTTAAACTAAGAAAAGCTTTGTATGGATTAAAGCAAGCACCAAGATCCTAGTACGAGATATCGAGTGAAGTTTTAATCAAAAAGGGTTTCCTAAGGGGTAAAGTTGACTCAACTCTCTTCATTAAAAATTTTGGTAAAGATCAATTATATGTACAAATATATGTTGATGACATTATATTTGGATCTACTAATCCACTTTTATGCAAGGATTTCTCAAAAATTATGCAGGATGAATTCGAAATGTCTATGATGGGAGAACTGACCTACTTTCTTGGACTACAAGTCAAACAAGATGAGAATGACATCTTCATACACTAGTCACTGCATTGATATACTGAAGAAGTTTAAAATGAGTTAGTGCAAAGAAGCAGCCACACCGATGGAAACAAATTGCTATCTAGACCTGGATGAGAAAGGTAATTCTGTCGATCAAAAGCTATACAGAGGTATGATTGGTTCGTCACTTTATCTCACTTCCAGTCGTCCTGATATAATGCATAGTATTTGCCTATGTGCTAGGTTTCAATGTAACCCAAAAGAATCATACCTTACTGCTGTAAAAAGAATTTTGAAATACCTAAAGGGAACTAGAAGTCTTGAATTCTGGTACCCTAGTGGTGCAAATCTTTTTCTAGAAGGTTGTGGTGATTATGACTTTGGTGGTTGCAAACTAGATAGGAAAAGCATCAGTGGAATATGTCACCTTCTAGGTTGTTCTCTAGTGTCTTGGCAATCAAAGAAACATTCTTGTGTGGCACTGTCCACCACAGAAGCCGAGTACATTGCAGTAGGAAGTTGTTGTGCTTAGTCTCTTTGGATAAAGAGTCAACTAGAATACTATGACATACTTTTAAATCATATACCTTTGAAATGTGATAACACAGGTGCCATAAATTTAACAAAAAATCATGTACTTCATTCCAAAACCAAGCACATTGAAATAAGGCACTTTATAAGGGATCACATTTTGAAAGGAGAAATCAAAATTGAATATGTGGATACCTTACATCAATGAGCTGATAATTTTACAAAGCCTCTGAATAAAGAGAGATTTTATACTATAAGGAATGAACTGGGAATACTTTATCAAAACTACATAAAATAACACTGATTATATATGCTGAATGAGTTGTATGAGTGAAAAATTAAAAAATTCACTATCAAATACTTCTTTACACACTCATACTCAATTGACGATTCTATCATTTCACAATTGTACTTTATCTTTGTACTAACACTCAACAAAGTTGAGAAGAATTTTATATGCAGGTTTGTTACTGAACATAATATACTTAGATGAATTTGCATTGATCTGAAATGAACTATAAGTGGCTCTGCATATATTAATCGACTGCAAAAGTAGTAAAATCGATTAATCCTCGAGAATGTGGTTTGAATTTCTTTTCTACTAAATCATATATTCTGTCACATTCATTCTGATGACATATGATTTCATGCATTCTTATACTCATTATATCATATCCATTGTTAATCATTTTGAGTATTCTAAATGTTGCGAACTAAAGTCCATTGACTTCAAGCATTACTTATTACTCTGATACATTTTAGTAAATCTGCTATATGCTTGAATCTGATTTAGCAATTCTTAATATGTTACATACCTGATACATTCATTACTGTTAGCACTACTACTATTAAGGGGGAAAATAGTGAAATTAGAGTTATTGCATAATGATAGGGGGAGCATCAATTTCTGATATTGATATGTAAAAATACATATTGATGTATCTCTAGATGCTATTTTTTTTCAAATTCAAGATACATTTTTTGTTAATGCCCAAATAAGGAGAAATTAGTGAAATTAGAAATTGATAAAACTGAAATAACTGGTAGAACAATTTATGGTTATGCATCATGGTTGTGTTGTACATTATGGTTGTGCATAATAAAAAAAGGTGAAGATTGTTGATAGGGGGAGCAATGTGAATGCTAAACCCAATCCCTTATGTGTTTGGATTTTGATGATAACAACACATATATGTTTCCATGACAACAACATAAATGTTTCTTTATGTTTAAGACATATATTGCCTGAACTGTTTGGGTTGTATGGTCATATAAGTGTTTGCATCTGTTATGCATACTCATGTTTTTATTTTTTAAAACCACTTTCACAAAGTAGATCTGTATGAAGCAATCGATTACAGTGGTTATGTAATCAATTAAGTTCATCAGATAGCTAATGCTTAAACTATGACAAACTACAAAGTTTTAATTGATTACATTATATGTATAATCGATTAAAATTTGTGTCTTTTCTAACACTTGTTTGCTATGTGTTGTGATGGGTTTTGAGAAGAAAAAGATTTCAGAATTGTCTAAGTGTAATACTTAACCGATTACACTGTTTACTTAATCGGTTAAGTCTGGTATTCTTTGAAAACAATTTTTAAGAGATGTTCTAACTGTCACAATGGTCATATTTTCAAATAATCTAACTTACAATTTATGCGCAATTGATTACATTAATTGCTTTGGACGTTTATTGGTTAATCAACTACGACACGTTAAGGTGTTTACTTTCTTGATCAGAACTTTTTTTGCAATCAAGAGATTATGGTGTCCATGTGCGTGTTTCCAGGAAGAAGAACTTGTTGTTCTTGTGACTTTGAGAAGGGTCTCATAGGAGTACTACAGAGAAGAGGATTTTTCTCTCTGCACGGTGTGTTTTTACTATATTAGATTGGTGAGTTAGAGAGAAGATTACATTTGAGAGGTGTTCTCTAAAAGCCTTGCTGTAAAAACTCAATTCTTTATAGTGGAAGGTCTTTCAATCTAAGGTTGATTGGAAGAGACTGGATATAGGCATTGAGGCCGAACCAATATAAAAAACTGTGTTTGTTTTCTATCCTTAAACTCCTTTACTGCATTATTTTCATTATTGTGTTATGTGTTAAAGATTATTCTAAATATTTCCAAAAAGATAGAAAAGAAAGCATTTTTATTAAAAACCAATTCAAAACCCCCCCTCCTCTCTCTATCTTGGTGTTGAGAAACAAAGCATAACATTTCTTACAAACTCTACTACATCTTGCATTTCCCTCCTATATCCACTTAAAAATTTAGCTACCTTATCCTCTTCACTTTCAAATTATAAATTCACTTTGAGGAGTAAAGACTCCATCAACTTGTCATAGTCATTCACACACATAGATCTTTGTTGAAGCTTGTAGAGCTTCAAAAGACTCCATCAACTTGTCATAGTCATTCACACACATTAATCCTTTATTATCCATCCAAAAAGCCACGAGTTACTCGTCGTAAGCTCATACACAACTGATGCCATCAAGTCATGACATATCCCTTAAATTCTACCAATGTTAAATCTATTTGCTTTTGATCCTCTAGTTGATGTATAACAAAAAATTGGTGAAATTTTTGCTCTCACTCTAGGTAAACATTAGGGTCATTATATCCTTTGAACTTGGGGATATGGATCAATGTTGGTGGCTTCCTTGGTAGAGAATTGTGCCTCCTATCATCTCCATGATAATGCCTTCTTTGCCTTCCACCATAGGACTCCTCATATTGAGGACTTCCTTCTAGCCTTCTCTTTATCTTGTTCTCTAGCTAGTCCCTCGTTTCTTTTTGTTGCCTCTCTAATTCAAGCCTTTCGATTTGGTCCTTGAGTTGTGTTTCACTTTCTTGCTTAACTTCTAGGATTTGATTTATGTTTTCTCTTCTAGACACCTTCAATTGTTGAATCAACTTCACCAAGGTCGATACATTGTTGTGTTGTTAAATCAAGGCTTCTCCTTGGCTAGGTGTGTAATTTAATGGTGATTCTTCTTCCACTTCTCTAATAATATCATTCAAATTCATGATTCCCTACAAGAAAAAGCTTAAGGTCGAGACAACCAAACACAAAAAGGGGGTTAGTTGATAAAAACTAAGACAAAAAACTACACCAAAACAACAACGTCAAGTGTGTGGATTTCCTCACAACCTGTAATAGGCTAGACTATCACTCAAGCTCTCAAGAAAAGAAACACAAGCCAAAAAAAATTTAGCATAAGAAAACATGATATATTAGAATAACCTAGGCTCTAGATACCAAATGATAAAGACCTATTTAAGAATTAGCAATATATGGTGTGATGTTGATTAAACAAGCACAAGGAAGATCTCCACTAGATTTTGAGATAACTAATGTTATCTAGATGTGAAGATTCATTTCCAAGGATCAAAGAGAAGAGGAGAAGTTCAGTTAATGGAAAATTATCACAAGAACACAAAGGAACGTAAATGGCCAAAAGTAAATGAACATAAAAGTAATAAAAGAGGAGGAAGATGGGAAAAAAATGGAAGATAGAAGAGAGAGCTCTTGATGAAGCCACACCACTTAGGGAGGCATTAAAGCTCACCAACCAAATATTAGTGGTGTTATGCCACTTGAGAGCTATTTCAAGATAAGGTTTGAGGAAGAAGACATTCATTGTAACGCCCCGATTTTAGGGTGTTGCTAACAGATTGACAAGTGTACCAAATCGCACAAGTAATATAAAATGGTAAGACCAAGTATCGTATCCCAGAGGACTCTCGGCACTAAACAGTCGTGTAATAAATTAATTAATGAAGACTTAAAATAAACGAGATCATTTTGAGATGCAAAAGCATAAAATAAAATATGAATGCAAATTGATCAATAGTAGAGTAACACAGAGATGAACGTATGTTGTTTAATATGAGATGAATATGTTGGTGGCGTTAGATTTCACCAAGTTCCCTCTCATGTATATAAGAATTTCTCTTTATGCATTAATGTTAACGTCACTCACTAAAGTACTTAGAACCCAATCCCTTGGAGCAATAAGTCTGCCTTAATTCCTAGTTCGTGCAATTCCTAGCGTTCCTAGAAAATTAAGTTTGAAGATCAAGAGCTTAAGACGACCAAGTACTCATACCCTCATCCCTGAGAAATATTACCCTTCGGAGAATTCAACAAGAACCTGAATTGTAAGGAACCTCCCAGCACTCATGCAATTCATAAATCATGCGACTAAATGAGTTAAATAGAGCAAGCATTAAAACAGATGAATTCCCTAACAATTAATGAATAAAACATATATGATTAAGAATCAATTCAAATAAATGAGAGTTCACAAGGTTACACCATTCCCCCACAACAAATAGAGTTTAGTTCCCCATAGACATGGAGAAACTATATGAACAATGGAAAAGCATGAGATACTAAAACCCTAAGAGTAGAAGAGGAAGCTTGCGCCTCCAGATCTACCTTCAGATAGTAGAAGAGTGTGTTGTTGTGTTGCTCCAGCCAGAGATACAAAACCTAGAGCGCCTGGGTCCTTTAAGAAGAGTTAGAACAAAGTATAAACAGGGTCCGGTCCAAAAGAGTCGAAACAAAGCAAAAATTGGGTCGGATCAGCAACGCGCGACGCTCGGGCGCCCCATTTAGGGCGCCCGGGCGGCGGACGTTGATTTCCGTAGGGCTTGAGCCTTCAATTTCGCCCAAGCTTCAAGGTCCGACGCCTGGGCGGCCTAGGGCGCCTAGGCGGCATACGTCGATTTTTCCACGCTCAAGCCTCCTGCAGGTCACCCAAGCTTCATGCGGTTCCCTCTTCTAGTGCTTTTCTATATCCTTAGCACTTCATCTCTGCTTCCTATATTAACTCATTTTATATCAAAACAAAGGGAATTAGTCAGAAAATCATCAAATTAACCTCAACTCTCTTATTCACACAACTTAATGAAAAAGCATGAGTCCAAGCAAGTTTCTAAGTCAAAAAGGGTGTATTTAGTATCAAAATTACATCACAGATAACAGTA